CGCGTATTCAGAAACGTAGATTACGTACATAGGATTTGTCAGTACTCTTTTTAAAAGAGATTAATGTCTTATGGGGCCCACTGATAAGTTATGATTGAGGAAATTGCATGGCCATGCTGAGATGTTTTTATGACGTCTGTTCCTATTAGTCAGACTTGATAAATCAGTGAATGACTTAATGGATACAAGTTGGATTTTATTAATCCCTTGCATTAAGTTTAGACATTGAGACAAAGGGATACAGTTACACGGAGTCTGAGTCGTGGAAAGGTTTTGACGGTGCAAACGTCTTAACTTATAATCTGGGGGCAATAATGTGTTGCTATATGGTAAGATTGCAAAAACGGTCGGCATTTCCGTCGTTACTTTTGGTGACGGAATCTTTCCGTCGCTAAAAGCGTCGCCAATTTCCGTCGCCAATTCCGTTGCTCCCTGGCGACGGATTTTAAAAACGATCGTTAATATTAATACTAACGAAAAATTAACGATGGAATTAAAACCGACGTTAATTCCGTCGTTATACAAATTACCTACAGAAATTAGGCTTTGGCGACGGAATTTTTCCGTCGCGATTTTAGTAGCTTTTGTAGTGATGGCTATGCCGATCAAAGCACGTAGTGGCGTGGTGGATACCAATGGCCGCGCTTGTTCTTGATGCAGTTGTTTAGTTTTTTTATTGAAGAAAAAGAAGAAGAAGAAAAAGAGTCTATCAGAATCAAAATCATACGAAATCAATGGATATGATATAAAAAGGAAACTGCAAAATAAAATAAATATTGCGTGTGTTCATTCATTCAAGAGAGAATACCTTGTGTTGGAAAACACTTTCACTTTGACGTTTTGCTAATGACAATGTTTGTTTCCATTTAGGTTTTGATATTGACAAACTGTCGGGAAAATGGAACAAAATGAAAAGATTCAAAGAGTTAGAAAAAGTTCTTTGAAGGAACAAAAAGCACAAGAAAGGCATTGAAGTTTCTAAAGATGGCGACATATGCGTTTTGAAGACGTTGTCTAAATATTTAGGTTTTTATTGTAACAAGTTCATTCAATTTTTCTAAGTCATGGCTCAAAACAAAATATGTTTTTCATGCATCAAATGAGTTTTTTCATAAATGGTTTTAAGTTTCTAAAACACCCGGTTCTTGCCCAACCAAAACCATAACCATCGGTTATCGGCGTTCGGCTATGGCGTTCGGTTTTCGGCATTGGTTATTGGCATTGATTTTAACCAAATGGTTTTTGGGTTTTTATCCTTGGTTTAATCTTCTGGACACATTAAAAGGTTTTATAAATGATTAGTTTTCAAAAACCATAACCTTTGTTTTTTCGGTGTTGGTTATCGACATTCGGCGCTGGTTATCGGCGTTGGTTTTTGGCGTCCAAATCAATCAAGTGGTTTTTAAGATTTTATGATTGGTTTTTACTTCTGGGAATATCCAAATGGTTCTCCAACAAAAACATGTTAAAAACCACCTTTTGTTTTTGGTATTTTGTGTGAGAACCATGTGAAACGACATAAACTTGGCTAGCCGTGGTTTTTACCTTAATGAAGTGGTTTTTAAGTTTTTATACTTGGTTTCTACATTAAATATATTATATATGAGTTTTCAACACTTGTTTTTCATTTTGGAGAACTTTGGTTTTTGACATCGGTTTTCGCCGTTGGCTGCCAAACCATGGTCTGGACAGGGGCATGAAGATAGGGAGACAAGACAGCTGCTGCAATTGGGACCAAAGAATCCAACAAACCTTCAGCTCCAAAAAAACAGCCCTGGCAGTGACCAAGATAGCTCCATTTTGTTTGCTGTCATGCTTTGATCCATTTTGTTTGATGTGATGCTTTGGTTTCTGTAATTGTTTGCTGTGATGCTTTGGAAAGCCATGCTTTGGTTTCTTTACACTGTTCATGTTACTATTCATTCTTTGCTGTTTTGTTGGGGACTCAAAAATAGAGATGGCCTAGAGGCCCCTGGTAGTGCTACTGCCATGCCAAATCAAGTAGCTCAAGCCACCACTTCAAGTCAGACAACCAACTAGCAGCGGGTAATAAAGAAAAGAAGAAAAAGAAGGCTTTGAAAGGTGATGAATCTATTGTGGATGGTTATGGTGATGCTGCCATGCCAAAGCCAGGAGGCCAAGTTCTCATCCAATTCTCTTTGTGTGTTGTCCATGTACTTTTTCTTTTCTTTCAATAGAAGTGTTTATTTTTTCATGTCCGTATAGTTGTTTGGAACAAGGGTTATTTGATTGTTGTATAAGTTTTTCCTGAAAGTATGAATGTAAAGTTAGAGAGCGTATACATTTTCATTGTAAAAAAGATTACCGTTTCTCCAAACTTTTAAAATAGTTTTAGGCTTAAGAGCTAGACTACTGTTTAAAACGAGTATTCTTAACTTTTAAAATAGTTCTAGGCTTGATATGCACAATTCTCTTAAAAACAGTTTTCTTTACTTCTTATAGATAACTGTGAAAAAAATAGTGTGACACACACTACTTGTAATACAATACTAATTCTTATAAGTTTAAAAACAGTTATACACTGGGAAACCAGACTTCTGTTAAGAAATAGTAGTCTTAACTAATTATTGACAACTGTGGCAATAAAAACTGTATTTTTTTACGAAATCGACTACTAATAATAGATGATCGTTTCTCACAGCTTCAAAAATAGTTCTACCCATAATTCATGGACTATTATTCTTAAAGAGTCTTCTATTCCTATTATAAAAAACAGTGGCAAAAAAACCATATGAAACAGACAACAAACGTTAGATAACTGTTTCTAATAAATTTAAAAACAGTTCTAGAATAACAACTCAGACTATTGTTTAAAAAGAGTATTCTTAACTTGTTATTGACAACTGTTGTAAGAAAAACTATATTTTGAACTGAGACAGACAACTAATGATACATTACCGTTTCTCGAAACTTGAAAAATAGTTTTAAAGCATAGCAGCTAGACTACCGTTCTGTTCTTAAGAAAAACTTACAGTAGTTTGTTTTTTTTCAACTACTGTGTTTGCATAAACAATAGTGAATCAACAGTGGTCTGATGATGTTTTTGGCGTAGTGGAAGGGCATATTCCTTCGGGTTTAAGTCTTGGAGTGCGGTATCTCCGAGCAAGTGTATTGAGGCTCGTGGGACCGAGTTCTCAAGTTGTAATGGTTTGTTAAGCACCTGTAAGCTTAACGTTGATAGTGTAGCTCGAGAGAGTCTCTCGGGAGGTCGGACTAGCCACACGTTGTGGTGAACCGGGGTAAAATCGGTGTGTTCTTTTCTTACGCTTTTTATTCCACTCTTTACTTTATCCCTGCGATTTTTATTCCGCAACAATTAATAAACATTCTTGTGCCTCACTATTCACCCCTCCCCCTCTAGTGAAGGGCACTTATTCTAACAATTGGTATCGGAGCCTAACTCTCTACAATCCTTAACCGGTTGAGAGAACGATCTATATTTTTGTTGAGAATGTCGTATGCAGAATTAAGCGAAGGACACTCCACCGTTAGACCTCCACTCTTCGATGGAACAAACTACACCTATTGGAAGGAACGGATGAGGATTTACATTCGGTCAATGAACTTCCAACTGTGGTTAATCATCAAAAACGGTGAGACGATGCCAATGAAAAAGGTTGGTGAAACCACCATCCCAAAGAAGGAGGAAGAATATGATGTTGAAGACATCAAGAAGGTAGAAGCTTTTGAAAAAGCTAAACACATGATTTTTTGTGCAATTAACCCGGATGACTACTAGAAAATTTCTTCTTGCTCCACCGCAAAAGAAATGTGGGATAAGCTTGAAGTGACATACGAAGGTACGCCTCAAGTCCGTGAAACTAAAATTGATTTTCTAACCCATGAATATGAGTTGTTTAAAATGAAGGAAATTGAAAGCGTTGATAAAATGTTCGACCGATTTTTAAAGATCATCAACGATCTCCATGTCCTTGGTAAAACATATTCGAACAAAGATCTTGTTCGAAAAATCCTTCAGAGCTTAACACCGGAATGGCGTTCAAAAGCCGATGCCATATATGAGTCGATTGGTAACACCAATGTCACCATCGATGGTCTTCGAGGTAATCTTAAAACTTATGAATCTATTGTTCTTAAACCTTCTCTTCACAAGAGTCCCGGTCTCGCTCTCAAAGCCTCATACTCAAAAAGGGTAGAGGTCCTAGGATTGTAAAAGAAAGGGGGAACCCGTTCCAACATGCTTTGGTTGTGGAGAACTTGGCCACATAAAGCCATATTGCCCAAACCACAAGGAAAAGAAGAAGAAGGAACGAGCATACATGGCATGGGATTCGGAAAGTTCCGGTGATGAAACTGCCACCTTATGTCTTATGGCTCATGAACGAAATGGAGAGGTAAGTACTTCTAACTCTTTCTCATTTGAAGAATTACAAGAAGCGTTTCAAGAATTATTTGGTGAATTGAAGAAAACTTCAAAAATTGCCAAAGAGGCTAAGGCAAAAATTTATGCTTTGAAGAGGAAAATAAATTTTTGGAAAATGATAATTTTGACCTCAAAAATAAAATTAAGGCAATGAATGAAGATTCTTTCTTTGACCAAAGTTCTACTTGTTCCTTTTGTGAGTCTTTAAAAGTAGAGAATGTAAAACTTAAGAGCACCATAGAAAAACTTAAGGTAGAGGAGCCTAAGAAACTTGGTGAAGAAGTTAAGAATTATAAACCACGTAGAAGAACCAATAATCCTAGGAATAACAAAATTAATTTTAGAAAGAATAAAAATAATAATTTGGGACAACCTAGAAATGAGTCTAGGAACTTAATTAATAATTCTAGGAATAATGACATTAGATCACCTAGAATTTTTTTTTACTCAACCTAGGCATATGCATAGCCCAAATGTAGTTTGCCATTACTGCTCTAAGATAGGACACATAGCACCCGTTTGTTTTGCCAAACACAGGGATTTGTTTTATAGCTATGATTATTATTTGCCTAACCCTCAAGGACCCAAAAGTTTTTGGGTACCTAAAAATTATTTTTAGGTGCATATGTATGTGTGCTTGAAGACTACAAAATTGTAGTGGATGCTCCAAGCACGAAACCCAATGAACCGCATCTAGGGGGAAGTTTGTTTTATGTTACCACATTTTTTTTACAATTGATGCCAATTTTTTTTCAAACAATTGGATTATTTTTAACCCACAAGGACCCAAAAAGACATTGGGTACCTAAAATCATTCTTTGAAGGAACCCCAACACGTTAGACGATGCACAAATGTAGGGGGAACCAAAAGTAGACAAGACTGGGCAGAAGTCATTCGAACAACGATGTTGCAATAGAAACATCGATAATCTGAAGCTCCAGGACTAATGAAAATCTCTCCAGGACATTTTCAAACATCAATGTTCAGTATCAAACATCGATGTTCAAGGAGTATACCTTTACATATTTTTAAAGTGCTTTTTGCTAATGCAAAAAGGGGGAAGTGTTTGGGTATATGTAACAAGCGAGGGGGAATCTTGTTTTCAAAGACGTAGGGGGAATTACCATTGTTACAATTCTCGTACGGATTACAACGGACGGGGAAGATGAACGGCCCCGGAAAATAAAAATAAATAAAATTCTGAATTTATAATTTATTCAGAATATTACAAAATAAACAAAGTTGAGAAAATTGATATATCTTCAAACGGCCTTGTTGTACGAGGACATTAAGGACTGGACAATGAAGACGTTAAGCACTGGACAGCAATATAAGGACGTTATGCACTGGGCTAGGAGGACATTATGCACTAGGACAGAATGCAGCGAGGTCTTTATGAACTGAACCTGCAAAAACACAACACTGTGGAAGGACAGCGGAGTCGCCGGAGCTGTCCTTAAGGTAGTAGTGCCTGCCTACCGTACCGGAAAAACGTGGGCACTCTCCTCCCAAGATAAAACCGCTATCGTGTGTGGAGATTGTACGGACCAACCGCACACCAACGAACAAGAGCAACGTAGGAATGTTGGCGACCAAAAACTTTGAAGGGAATTGCCGGAAATTTGGCCGGAAAACCAAGAGCTCTCTCAAAAAATAAACAAGAAAGATTTTCTTTCTTTTTCTTTTTTTGTTTCTCACGTGAAGCACACAAGGGGAAAAAGGAGAGACCCTTTGCTTTTTATAACTAAGCTCTTTTTAAAAGGTGTAACCTACACACCATTAAGACTTAGTATTAAACATGGCATTTGTGGTGTGTTAATGGTGATTAATTAGCCATTAACACGTCCGTTACGCTACGCTCCGTTTAAAATTTGTCCAGAATAATTGGAGATTAATGGCCAGTTAACTCCGTAAAAATGGACTAATTTTAAACAATACGTAAAATTAATAAAAGAAGATTGGTTCAGTAAAATTGCAAAAATTGCAATCCTCACCATATTCTTTTATTAACGGGTTAACTCTGAGAATCAATTTCTCATTCACCCTCTACCATTTTTGGCGTATAAATGGTCAAAACATTTATCTCATTTAAGAGAAAACACGTCCATTAATTAACGGTTAAAACCGTTAGTGGACCTATTGACAAATATACCCTAGTTGGTCCATTTTAATGCCTATTAAAAAATGCCAAAAATTCCAACAATCCTCCACATGAATGAAAAATTGATTTGGGGTCGACAACATCCCACGGTTGAAAAACTGCAAAGAACATGTAAGTGTCTCCACTTTTGAACATGTCCCTTGTAAAGTATACCTTCTTTACTGGCTGTTCAGTAGAACACGATGTCTTTGAACTGTACTGCCGCTTGTGTAAACGATAGTATACAATACACAGGTTCCAACCAAACGCCGTTCTGTTCTCATGGTTGTGCCCATTTTGGTCGTGGGACACGCGCCTGGTTCTGTGAGAGTGTTTAGAGGATTAAGCCCAATATCCTCCATTTGAAGCGACCACACTTCACTCTTACATAGGTGATTCTTTAAGAGTATCCCGATTACTCCTCTTAGACCACCGTGTCTATTGGTTAAGAATCATTAATGCATATTTATATGCTAACCTCATCATTTTCGGGAGTCACTGTCTTCAGCAGGAACAGAAGGGACTGACTGAAGGTTCCGGTACCGCCCCCACAGTGACCTCGCTTTATCCTACAAGTAGGTTGTCCTATTGAACCTGGTACCAGCCAGGTTGGGTTTTTCTTCATAGGACTGTCCTAGCACAAGGGCTTCAAACCCATTCCTACCACCAACTTTTCATGCAACTCATTTGTTAACCCTTAGGTTAGCGGATCCGCCAGATTATCTTTTGACTTCACATAGTCAATTGTGATAATCCCAGTTGTGAGAAGTTGTCTAATGGTTTTGTGTCTACGACGAATATGTCTAGACTTACCATTATACATATTACTCTTTGCACGTCCTTTTGCTGATTGACAATCACAATAGATGCACACTGGTGGGACCGGTTTATCCCATCTTGGAATGTCCTCTAGGAAGTGGCGTAGCCATTCAGCTTCCTCTCCACATTTGTCTAGAGCTATAAACTCAGACTCTATGGTGGACCTAGAAATCACTGTTTGCTTTGAGGATTTCCAAGATATTGCTGCACCCGCTAGCGTAAAGACATATCCACTTGTGGACTTCAAGTCTTTACTATTAGATATCCAATTCGCATCCGAGTATCCTTCCAGTACCGGTGGATATCTCGAGTAGCATAATCCATAGTCACGTGTATACCGCAGGTATCTCATCACACGTACAATAGCCTTCCAGTGCTCATCACTCGGATTGCTGGTGTATTTACTCAGCTTACTTATGGCACGAGCTAAATCTGGTCGAGTCCAACTCATTAGATATATCAAACTTCCAATAACTCTCGCATACTCGATTTGAGAGTTACTGGAACCTCGGTTTTAGCCAGGTGAGCATTGAATTGATTATCGGTTTTGATCACAAAAGACCGACTCGACTAAGTCTTCAATTCTTGATCTTGTCCTTGAGTCTTTTAGGTCTTGTTCCAAGCCATTCTTCATGCCTTGAGTTATTCAACGAAACTCTTCATATCCACGGCGGTTTGGCAATTATCAAAACCTGTCAGAAATGAACACGACTTTAGTTTAACGTACAAAGTGTGTTCCAACAATTTCCCCCTTTTTGATAATGGCAAACAAGACGGGGATATGCATAGGGTTTTGATCTTTTTGAAAAAAAATTCCCCCTTAAAAAAAAATTCCCCCTTAATATATGCATAGCCCTTATCTTCCCCCTTTTGGCATTAACAAAAAGATTGTTAACAACAAAAATCATAAAGATTTTTATTAATTAATTAAGGGAAATAGCGGAGTACATAACGAAAGCATATTAAAAGATGATAAAATAAGGAAGAGAAGAAAGTAGAGCTAGAGCTCTAGAAATCCGGGGAAAGATCATTGAGAAGTTGTTCTTCGTCAATGTCTTCTTCTTCTTCATC